TTCATTCCAGCATTAATAGCAAAGTTCAAAAAACCCCAGAAAACTACAAATGCTGGTAAGAGTGTAATGATTGTCCTCCATTGCTAGTGGGACTGTAAAATGGTGCAGCCACTGTAGAAAACAGTATGGCATTTTCTCAAAAATTTGGAACTGGAAATACTGTATGTTCCATCTATTCCTCTACTTGATATATATCCACAAGAAATAACACACGAGTAAATTATGTATACCGATGTTTATCGCATCACTACACACAACAGCAAAAAGATAGAGACGTCTTAACTGCCCATCAGCGGAAGATTGGATAAACAAGCTCTGGTATGTGCACACATGGAATGCAATGCAATGTTGAAGAATAACAGTGAATCTGTGAAACACCTCATGATATGGATGAATCTTGATGACATTATGCCGAGTGAAATTAGTCATTCACAGAGAAATACTGTATGAGACCACTTTTGTAAAAACTCAAGAAAAGGTCTTTATACTAAAAGAAACATTCTTTGAAGGTTACCAGGGGTCAGAGAGAAGGGAGAATAATTTACTGGGTAGACAGTAGCCACATGTTAATTTGGGTCATGGGAAGGACTATGTACAAGAAGAGGGAGGGTGACAGAAGAGTGAAGAAAATAGGTGAAAACACAGGGAAATATGCAAGGGTTGCAGGGAATAGAGGTAAATAGTTATATTCAAGGAGCTCTGGTAGTGTAGTGGACTACGAATCGGGCTGTGAACCACAAGGTCAGCAGTTCGAAACTACCAGCAGTTCCATGGGAGAAAGATGAGGCTTTCTGTTCCCGTAAAGATTTATAGCCTTGGAAACCCTGTGCAGGGTCACTATGAGTCATAACCAACTCCACAGCACTTAACAACAACAACAACAGTGTTATATTCACAAGCCTGGAACAAGAGTGTTTTGCAGGTAAATACATCGATACCACAGCTGAACAGGTATGGGAAGAAGAGAGGGAGTATAGCCTACAAATATATAAGAGTTTGAAAGAGGATATTTGTACATGGGTATATACCTTTCCTGCAAACACATGTATGAATGTGGGGGAGCGAGCAAAATGATAAAAACTTCTTAGACCTTATCAAACATTTTAAGGCAACGAGTTGCTGGGTCTGGAAGCCCAGGATCATAGGGACATGGGATATCATGTTCAGGTGACAAAACATAGTTCACAAAGACAATGTTCTACATCCTACTTTGGTGAGTAGTGTCTGGAATTGTAAATGCTCCTGAGTGGCCAGTTCAGGTGCACCTATTGGTCACTCAATGTGCAGATGAAAGAATGTGATGTAAATTGAAGATGCTTGGAATCAACCACTCCAGTGGACCAATGGAGCAGGTGAACATCAGTCACCACAACTTTGAGATCAGAAGAACTAGATGCTATCTGGTTACCACTATCAGCTGCTCTTCAAAGAAGGATCACATTAGAAGGTAGCGGGTAGAATGGGAGAAAATGTGGAACAAAACTCAAAATTATTAAAAAATGTTTTAAAGACCAGCTGCCACTACCAACTGTTCTTATCAAAGGAGCCACAATAGCTGGACACTGATAGAATGAGAAAAAATGTGAACTAAAACCTCACATTCCTCAAAACAAAAGCCAAATACACTGAACTGGTTGAGACTGGAGTCCTCCAGTCTAAGCTGTTGCCCTGAGATACTGCAAATGTTGAATCAGAGTTAACCCTTGAGCTCTCTTGTAGCTAAATAATAAATTGGCTCAATAAATATCACCGTAAAAAAAAAAAAAAAAATCACCTATGTGACAGCATACATTGAACAGTTACTTTAAAACAGGGATGAGGATGTACATGGTCAGGGAAACTACATTAGTGGAAATGGAGCACAGAACAGAAAATGACAGTGTTCATACATTATGAAGAATGCAAGCCAGGTCACTGAACAACTGGTGTAGAAATTGCTGAATGGAAACAAACTGCTGTGTACACCTTCACTGAAAACACAGGAAAATACTTTTAAAAAAAATAGAGATGAAGGAAACACAAAATGTGGGTTGTACATACATATTGGAGTCCTGGTGTGGCTCTGCAACATAAGCACTTAACCACAAGGTTAGATTGAACCTCAAGGTCGGCTGTTCAAACTCAGTAGCTGCTCCTTGGAAACTCTGCACAGGGTGGCTATGAGTTGAAACTGACTTGGTGGCACTTAACAACAACATACATATACCTTGGATAAAAGGAGTAAAGTTCTGATACATGCTACAACATGGATGAGTCTTGAAAGTATCATACAGAGTGAAATAAGCCAGACAGGACAGATATGCTGTGATTTGATTTCCATGAAGTATTTAGAATAGATAAAGTCCTTTGCAGCATTACAGGTTACCAGGAGTTGTTGGGAGGAGAGAATGGGGAATTGTTGCTTAATGCATACAATGTCTGTGGTGAAGAAAGGGTTTTAGAAATAGGTAATGGTGATTGTTACACAACATTGCCAAAGTGGTTAACGCCAATGCATTCTATGCTTAAAATGGTATTTTGTGTATAATATATATGTTGTTGTTGTTGTTGTTATGTGCCGTCAAATCGATTCCGACCCATAGTGAACCTGTATAGGGTTTCCAAGGAGCAGCTGGTGAGGTTGAACTGCCGACCTTGCAGTTCTCAAAGGGCTTTGCAGTCTGGCGCATTAATCCACAGCGCCACACCAAGACTCCGTATATATATATATATAGTTATATGTAGTTTAGTGCATATGTGTGTGTATTCATAATTTATGTGTATATATGAGTATACACATATACATGTTTATGTGTGTATATGAGTACCACACACATTTCAAGTCTATACACACATACTTAATCGTAATAAATATAAATTAGAATAGGCTACCTACATTAAAGTACTGAGAGTCTCTAGACTATTATATGAGGAAATGACTGATGAGGCAGTGATCCCTTTTCTTATCAAGCAAGCTAGTGTCATCTAAGAGTAGAAATACTGAACACTTAGAAACCATACAGTAAAATCCTTTCTGATTCATTCAGAATACTTTGAGAGATTAAAATCCCAGGTGAATGAAAGGGAATCAGTAAATGTAATCTGTTTATGCTTTTTAAAACCTTATAATAGTTTAGCTATCTACTTTGAGATGAATCTGCAACTATTAGATATTGATATGGTGAACAGAATTTCAATTGGAAACAGGGTAAGGGGATGGGATCATTATTAATCCTCAATACTAGGTTTGTAGATGATGGCACTAAATTGCATTTGTACAAAGGATTTTCATTGACAGCATGAGCAAAATTAAGGGAAAGAAAGGCAAACTTCTTTCGTGGAGAGATAGGTTATATAAAAGTATGACCTATATTCCTGAACAGGGAGTAATATAAATATTAGGCAGATGGATCTCAGAAATGGAATTTGTACAGGATTGGAATACATGCCCACCAATCACTTTGTTGTTGTTGTTAAGTGCCATCGAGTTGGTGCCAAGTCATAGTGACTCTATATAGATAGGGTTTTCAAAGAGCAGCTGGTGGGTTTGAACTGCCAATCTTTTGGTTAACAATCTGCTGCTCATCATTAGTAGATACATGATTTAGACAAGTTATGTAACAGCTTTAAGCCTCATTTTTACCATCTATAATTTGATGAGAATAATAGTGCTTGCTTTGAGGATTTTTTGAAGAATTTAATAAGATAAATTACATATGCACCTAAGTCAGGCTCCAGTACACCATAAACATTAAGGAAATGTTGGCCATCATGGTCATTATTATTGGGGCTGTAAGTACCGTATTGACTCCGCATTCAGTGAGCATAGACTTGTTGTGAGATGCTCTGCTGAGTACTGGATTTATAAAAATCAGAAAGACATAGGTGCTGTCTGCAGGCGCTCACTCTCTGTTCTAGTTGGTAGAGGAAACAAACGTCACTGGCCACCAATCAAACAATAAGATATCTTCTTGTACAGAGGACTTTTGAGATTAAGATTATAGAGCCCTTCCTCTGTGGTGCTATCAGAAGCAGAAGTCTAGACTAGTTAAATGGCAAGTCTGTTCCCATAATGTAGTATTTAGGTTTGTTTTGTTTTGTTTTTTAATTTGTAATTTTTAAACTGAGGAGTAACAATGTAAAAATTTTAGCTCGACTATTTTACATGTATACAAAGGGACTTCAAAAAGTTTGTGGAAAAAATGGAATGAAAAGACAATAGAATTTTTCCATGAACTTTTAAAAGTCTTCTTGTATATGCTTATGTAACTACCAGTCAGAACAGAACTATCACACTTTAAAAAGAAGAAAAACCCCAACACCTTTCCAGCATCCTAGAAGGTTCCCTCATACTGTTTCCCAGTCAGTACCTCCCAGAGAGGTCATCACCATTCTTATTCCTTGCACCACCGATAAATTGTATCTGGTTTGAGCTTCAAGTAAATGGAATCATACAGCCAATGTTTAGTTCTTATCTGGACAGAAACGTGGGAGAAGACCCAGCACCAAGATAATCAAGCTCTAAATAATGAAGAATGTTTTACTAATACTATGTTTACCTGTGTTTTCAAATCAGACATTCTTAGCAAAATTACATGAAAACATGATTATAAAGAGCCTAGGAATATTTCCCAGTGGGAAAGCACAGATCTTCCCATCAACACTGTTCCTAAGGATGGGTCGGCCCACCTAACTGGAGATCAAAGCTAAAGAATTAGGAACAAGAGCTTGAAGACATCTTCTCCTTCCCCAAACCATTTGGAAAGCTTTGCCATTTGGGGCACTGAGACTGCTTGGGAGACTTGTGAAATAAGCTGGTAAAGAAACAAACCTTAGCTGTAGACCGCCTCCACTTGTTTCCCATTCACTTCTTAGGCAATCACTCTAGTTCAGGAAATGTGGTGGGACAAGGAGGCAGCTGAGGGGGACAGCATAAACATAGACTCACCCATACCTACAGTCTAATGACACCGCCTGTTAGGATATTTGTGGCATCCTTATGTTTTTTCTTCTTTGTTCAGGTTATTACTTTGGGACTGTGATGATCGAAGCTATAGCTACTACGTTGAGGTTTCTACCAACCAGCAACAGTGGACCATGGTGGCTGACAGAACCAAAGTCTCCTGCAAGTAAGTTACTTTCAGAAAATTATTCCAATGGAAAAGACAGTCTTTCCTATGATTTCAGAAGCTTCCAGTGCATATTCACAAACTCTCCAAATTATAATATTTGGAGGTTGAAAAGATAGTTCTGTAAATTTTTTTTTTTTTTTATGTGACCAAACGAGGTTTCCCTATTTCATGGTTTGAATCTGACTCACACTTTATAAAATGGTATATGTACCTAAGCAGGAAAGAAAGATCCTTTACTTTTACAAGTCTCTATTCCCACATACTCTGTGTTACTCCTGATAGGATTGCAGAAGTGATAAACACTTCAGTACTTGTCTCCTTCCTACCCTCACATCGTTATCAGAGTTAGCTGTAAATATTCATCTCATTTCATGGTTAGCCAGACTGGTACCTAAACTAAGGAAAAGCTTTGTACCTTAGGTTCCCATAAGCAAACCAAGATATTTAACCCATTTGACATCGGGTTCACACAGTTGCAAGACAAGCTAAGAAGGCCTTAGGTTTCCATAAGCAAACAAAGATATTTAACCTATTTGACATCGGGTTCACACAGTTGCAAGACAAGCTAAGCAGGAAGATTCTGTGGATTCTGATCAGCTTAGAATAACAGTACATTAAAAGAGTTCAGTGGCTTTTTGTGCACAGCCAGATCCTCTGGGTAGCAAGATTATAGCAAAAGGGCCTGATTTCGTAATAATATTAATGGTGGCTTGTTTAATACAATGCCTGACACTATGAAGGTGAGTCTTTTGCTACTATTATAGTATGATAATTATCATATGTTTGTTGTTAAGTGCTGTAGAGTTGGTTCCCACTCAAAGCAACCCTGTATAAGGTTCCCAAGGAGCAGCTGGTGAGTTTGAACTTCTGATTTTATGGTTCAAACTGACCTTGCGATCCAATGCTTTATCCCACAGCACCACACCAGGACTCCAGTTATCATATGGTGGTGGTCATGTGCTGAGGAGTCGGTTCTGACTCACAGCCACCCTGCATAGGGTTTCTGAGGCTGTAAATCTTTATGGGAGCAAAAAGCCTCAGCTTTCTCTCGTGGAACTGCAGGTATTTTGGAACTGTTGGCCTTGAGATTAACAATCCGACTTAAAACCAATGTACTACCAGAGCACCTTAATTATCATTTGCTGCTTCTGTTAACTGCAATCGAGTCGATTCTGACCCATAGCAACCCTGTATAGGGTTTCCGAGGAGGGGCTGGTGAGCTTGAATCACTGATCTTGTAATTCAAACAACTTACAGTCCATCGCATTAACCCACAACATCACACCAGGACTCCTAATTATCATACAGAATGTAACAAATATGTCCCAACATTTCAGTGGTTTAACACAATAATTATTTCTCAGTCCAGAGAGGGTGGTCCTGGATTTTAGGTGGCTCTTCTCCACAAATGATTAAGGAACCCAGGCATCTTCCTTTCTGTCACTCTGCCATTGCTTAGCTGGCAGAACATAGAAGAGGCATGCCTGCCTTTGAAAATCCTTGGCCTAGGTTTAGGCACATTCCTTCTGCTCACATTCCATGTTTTGTAGACAAACAAGTCACCTTGCCACTCCGAGGTGCTAGCAGGATTAGTCTCTGGCTAGGCAGCCACTACCATAGCTGATTTCTGCCACAATAGGTAAGAAAACTAACAATTACTTAATTTTGCGCTCTCCTGCACGTATGGCCTCCATGGGTCAAAACGGACTCAGCGGTACCTAGTAACAAGAAGTATGCTTCTGTTCACGTGTTCTGTCTCATTTTGTGCTCAATAAAAAACACTTTTGGGACATGACCCTCATTTTACAAAGGAGAAAATGAAGTTCTGAGAGACTAAATGTCCGTTGCAAGGGATAGAGCTAAGATTTAAACCCAGGGCTCTCTTCACTGTACCATATCACCTCTTCTTACTCAAAGCATTATTAAAAGAGGGTGAAATCAAATTAAATGGAAAGTGGGAAATGGAAGGCTAACATTTCCAAATTCCTGGGACACTTTTCCTATAATAGGAACTCTTTCAAGGCCCATGAGCCATTTCCATTTGCCTTTCCAGTGTATTTTCTTACTGGGATTCCAGCTCACAGGCCCTCTGCCTCCTCAGAGCTCTCCGCCATCTCTATATCTTATTCTTTTCCACCACCTGGCTCAACTGTCTCTTCAAAGGTGTAAACTGTGTTGTGATCTCCTCAGCGGAGAGACTTGATCCTCCTCTCTGTAGCATCTCCCCGCTGGAGAGTTACATATTCATTGTGCTTTTTAACAAGATCAGGTGGACTTACCAACTCTTAGCCAGTACATGTCATAATGACTTTGTTTTGAAAGTTTTTCTCTTGATTAAAAAGTCGGTTCACACACACACACAATTCTGTTCACTTACAGGATTAGATTCTCTGCCAGTAGTTTTGCAATAAGTCATCAACACCTATTTTTTTCCTTTTTTTATTTTTGTTTCATTTTGTTTGTATATGTTAATAATTTATGTGCTTTTAACTTAGTATTTTAGCACTAAGATACTACAGCAGCAAGTGTTTTACAGATTAATAAATAAATAATAATAATACATCAGAGAGCAAAAGTATTAACAAGAAGGCAACTGCTTGTTAACCCTCTAGGACTCAAGGGGACCTAAGGCTGTAATCTGATGCTTATAAGCATAACCTGAGTTTGTTGGGCATTCCATCTTCTAGTTAGGGCTTAAGAAATATATTAGAACATAGAAGAAAGCTTTCCTTTTTTTTTTTCAAAGATGTATGTTTCATTGTTCTTATTTTACAGATGAGAGAACAGACTTAAAGGGTACCCTTTACTTACATAAACTGTACTGTTGTAGTCAGAATTCAAATTCAGACCTAGCTAACTCCCAAACCTTGCTCTTTTACTTTCTCCCAAACCTAGAAAGAATAGCAGAGGTATCTTTTTTGGGGTGGTGGTGATGGTGGTGGTTCTTTCATTCAAATTTTGATATTTTTGTCATCATGGATTTTTGTCTGTTTTTAGGGTTTTTTTTTTCCTGTTATTATATTCCATCTGGTTTGGTGTACTATGTTACAGGAACATCGGTCTATCAATCTTTACATGTTACAGTATATCTAGGTCAACTTTTACCTCCACACTTGATTTATTACAAAGACACATGAGAACAGCATTAAGAAATAATAGCAAAGCTTTCCTTATACATAATGTAAGAGACAAACAAGAGTTGTCAGAGAAAACAAACAAGGGGAGAAGGTACTGTACACAGCAAGGGGCATCTTGTACAAAGTCTCTGATGGTAGGCTTTGTCATTCCGTTTGGAAGTCTAATAGGGGATGAGCAGCACTTGAAAGGTCCTTCCATTCTCAATGGCCGGCTGTGTTTCCGCCAAACAACTTTTTGTAGACAAAATCTCCTGGTTGATATTAATAGCTGATTTCTTTTGGCAGGTCCTTCTTGGTCTTAATGACTGGAAGTCTCAGGTTTGCTCTGTATCCATCTCTGGCATCATTGCTTCTCTGGTTAGGGTCCCACATTCTGCTTTTGCTCATCTCTCTTGATGGTCCTCTCTGTTCCTGGAATGTAGGCTTAACCACTCCCCGCTTTTTGCTACACAACTTCTGCCTTTATAATTGTGACATTCACAATTAGTTGTGATAACAGTTACTCACTATTGAATCATAGGAATCTATCCCCATCTCCTTTCACTACACCCATCTAGACAAGATGAAAACTATTTAGTGGAGATTCTAGAAAACTTTCCTTTTTAACTTAATATACCCCAGAGCAGTTTCAATATTCTCCTCCAACACCATAACTCAAATGCATCAATTGTTCTACGGTCTTCCTTATTCACTGTCCAGCTTTCACATTCATATGAGGTTATTGAAAATATCATGGCTTGGGTCAGGTACACCTTAGTCCTCAAGCTGACATCTTTGCTCTTCAACACTTTAACATGGTCTTGTGCAACAGATTTGCCTAATGCAATACATTGTTTGATTTCTTGACTGCTGCTTCCATGAGTGTTGATAGTTGATCCAAGAAGAATGAAGTCCTTGACAACTTCAATCTTTTCTCTGTTGATAAGAATGTTGTTTATTGGTCCAGTGGTGAGGATTTTTTTTTTTTCTTGACATTGAAATGTAATCCATACCGAAGGCTGTGCTCTTTGATCTTCATCAGTAAATGTTTTAAGCCCTCTTCACTTTTAGCAAGCAAGGTTGTATCATTTGCATATCACAGGTTGAAGAATTGATGCTTTTGAGTTATGGTGTTGGAGGAGAATATTGAAAGTGCCATGGGCTGCCAAAAAAAACAATAGATCCGTTTTGGAAGAAGTGTAGCCAGAATGTTCTTTGAAGGCCAAGATGGCCAAACTTCATCTCTCATACTTTGGACACATTCATTGTCAGGAGGGAGCAATTGCTGGATAAGAATATCATGTTTGGTAAGGTGGAGGGTCAGAGAAAAAGAGGAAGACCCCCAATGAGATGGACTGACCAAGTGGCAGCATCAATGGACTCAAGCATGGCAAGAGTAGTGAGGTTGGCCCAAGATTAGGCAGTGCTTCGTACTGCTGTCCATAAGGTTGCTATGGGTCGGTACTGACTCAATGGCACCTAACAACAGCAACAATCCCAGAGCAGACCTCAAGAGAAATATCTGTTAACTTCAAGATTTGTAGCCTTTGCTTTATTTAAGTCAAGTATGTGAGTCATGTTATAAATGAAATTAGATAAAATATTGAAAGATCACAGCCCTGCCTTGTGATATCATTCTTGGTAACCCAGAACTCAGGACAGATTTTTGTTGTCCTCTGAAAAATCTCATGGGTATAAGACTTTCAGGTGTGTCCTGACCGGTCTTCCTGCTCCAGGGGTGAGCCATATCTCTTTATATTTATCTTAGCTCCTTTCAGCTCCAGTGGAATCACTTGATTTGACTATGGTTATTTTCTGTTATAGATAGTCTTGGTTTTGTATTGACTAATAATTTTTTTTGAGGTTTTTATTGTGGATTGA